ATTGCTCTCTCCTCTATCCTTTCTTTTTTCCTCTGGGCACCTTCAGAGGCTACAGGTGTGATAAGCAGGTACCAAAAAGAACACAGGGGAAGGGAGGCTCAGCTAGGCAGACGTGGGCAGTGCACCCCATCTGGAGATCAGGCGAGAGGACAGTGTGGTGCTTCTAGTTGGGGTGGTCACTGCAGAGAAGTGGGCCCTGGGTTGGATGCGTAAGCCCTTCTTATACACCTGCCGCTCTGGGCTCTCAGTATAGCGACTTTCTTAGACGTCTTCCATGAAGTTGGGTGTAAGCTTCTCATCACTGCGAGTCAGTTGGCACATGTTTCAGTAAAACATGTGTATCAGGGGCTGTCCCAGAGCGGCGGTGCTTGGAAAGGTGAGCAGAGACATCAGGCCCCTGTTACCTTCCTGCTCTGCAGAGGGCTGTGCAAAGGCCCCACTCTTCCTCCTGGCCCTGCGGTGTCTCTTGTTATTTGAGGGCATACAGAGCTTTCTGGACAGCTGTGGGCTTCAGCCAGGCAGCTCTGGCTCCTGTACACTGTTCCGGTTTCCAGATGAATCCCCTGATGAAAATTGTTTCCTGTGAGGGGATTTCAGTCAGAAATTGACTCCGAAGGGGCAGGGGCTGCTCCGTCCCCTGACTCGGCCGCACTGCTCCCCTTAAGTTTGGGTGTCTAACGTTACAATTTGGTTTGACCCTGGCACAGACCAGGCAGGACTGGCTAGGCTGGTGTGAAAAGTGTCCATAGTTTGGTGTCAGAAGTTGCCGCAGTGCCTTTCCTGTGTGATTGAGACAACTTAGTCTTTCTGAAGGATACTTCCTTCAACTGGGGTTCAGCAGAGGTGCTTTTCTCCAGGGTGTTCCGTGGAACCAGGTGGGGCACTCTTTGCTGACCTTCACCTATTAGCAGCAGTATGGGGGTGGGGTGGGGATCACCTTGCAGAGGGAGTCCAGAGGGAACCCTGGTATGCAACTGGGTAGCTGGAGGGACCTAGGCCCTTTGGCTTGAGGAATCTGCCCGTTGCTATGGAATGAGGAGCCAGAGGGCAGGAAAAGGGTGCAGGACTGCTTTTCTCTCCGTCCTGTGGGGTTCCTGCTGAGAAGGTGGGTGGGCTGGCCCCTTTTGACTCCCTTAGTCTTACTCTTCCTGGGCCTGTCCTGACGACAGTGGTCCCTCCTGCACACAGGTTGTTTTCGAGAAGCAGCCAGTCCCACTTTAGGGCCTTCGCACAAGCCCTGCCTGCAATGCCCTCTCAGCACATAAGCCCCTTTGCTCTTCCTTCCACGATAGGGGCGCATGCCCCAACAGAGGGACCATGTGAGGCCTTGCCAACATGAGTATCAGGCAGTGGGTGCTGGCAGTTCCAGCTCTTGTCACTGGGGCAGGGGAATGGGGCTGAGAGGTGTGATGGGCTGAAGAATCACTCCTACTGTGCATGGTTCATGTGCATTCATTTGGAACCAGGGCTTGTTTGTATGGTGGGAATTGACCTAGGGTACAGTTGTGTGACTGCAGAGGAAACGAAGTGGGAGCGGGAGTTTCAGCCTGGCTTTCTGAGTGCGTCTAGTGCATGCGAGCATGGGTAGGGATTTGCGTGCATGGATTTGCTTCATTATCTCCGTTCATCTAGCTGATGTCCATCCATGCTGGGCACACTGAACAAGGCTTCTTGGGGCAAGGGACAGTCAGGGATCTCCAGGGAAGATTCAGGGCTCTGGGACAGCTGCAGGACAGACACTGCCCTGAGAAAGCCTCTTCACTGCTCTCCTGGGTGCTGGCGTTTCTGGGAACCTGGAGGCTACCCAGTGCTTTGTCTTGAAGGCAGGCAGAGTTGTGTATCTGTGAGATAATGATGGGGACACTAGGAAAACAAAAATGGCTCGGGTGAGCCTTCAGGCAGAGAGAGGAGAGGGCATGTGGAGGAAGCTTTGGGAGGTGACTCCACTTTCTCCTTGCAGCTCACCTGCGGCAGTGTCAGGAGTGACTGGGAAACCCTTGGATATCACTGGTGCTGGGTCTGGGCCTGGAGGCCCTTCACACTCTGAGGTGTGGCTGGCTTCTCTCCTGCTTGGCGTTGGCACTTAATACTTGCACATCTTGGTGGGTCTGAGTCTGCATTTTCTTCCTGAACAGGCCAGAGGATTTGAAAAATTCTCAATTATGGAATCAAGTCCCTTGGAGCTAGTTAATAGTTAAGGGTGGCTCTGGGGGTCATTGTCTGCTTGAAATGTAGTGGTATGTGCTGTTTCATGCTGTGTGCTCATCTCCTTACAGATTATGTGCTTGGGGCATCTTGCATTCACAGTGGTGTGGATGGAAATCAGGGGCTAGGCGCAGAGGGCCAATCGAACTCATTATTGGGTCTGTGCCAGAGACACTGGTTCTGAAACACTGGGCTAGACTGAGTGTAATGAACAGGCACATCGGGGCTTTGGATGGTCACTGTGTTGGTCAAGGAGGAAGTACAGTCATTTTGAGAAGGGTGGCCTGCAGCCCTGCAGTGGCCAAGACCCTGACCCTTCCCCTGAGGAGCACGGGGGCCCCTCTGAGCCACTGCTGCCAGCTGCCCATGGCTGCCCTCAGAGGGCCAGAGACAGGCTAGTTTCGATGTCCAGTGTTCTCTGCCTCTGGTTTCTTCAGGGCTAGCACTTGGATGAATTCTTTATCAACTCTTGTCTCTGAAATAATTGGGCCTTTGGTTAGTATTGGCACTCGGTTTTGGTAACAACCACCATTATCTGCAGAGCTGTGACATTTCCTGTTGGATCCCTTCAACTCATTTAATCCAGGCATGTGATGGAAATCTGAGGCTGTTCCATAAACAATTGTCCAGTGTATAGGGTTGTTCATATAGACCAGAGGCTCACAACTTATTTGACTTACTGTTCCCTCATTAAAAATCAATTAAAAATCATTCTGAAGCTCCTTGAAAATCCACCTTCTTTTATTTATTTTTTGTTTCATTTTGGTTTTTTTTGGCCACCCCCATTTTGCTCAGGGCTTGCTCCTGGCTCTGTGCTCAGGGATCATTTCCGGCGGTGCTTCAGGGCTGTATGCGGTGCCAGTGGGGACTCAAACCCAGGCTGGCCAAGAGCATGGCAAGCATCTTCTTGGTGCAGTTGTAAATCTGGCCCTGGAAACTACCTCTTTGAACAAGGTCGCAGAAGGCATCTTGATTGTTCCAGAGCTCCAGGGAGAGGGGTTGGAGTTGTCCAATAATATAGATGAATTTTGTGAGTGATTTTCCCAGAAAATGATGCTTGCATTGCCAAGTCACCTGCTTCCTGTGTTTTAAATGCTTTTCATCTGTTTTGTCAGGCTGTCCTTAAGATATTAGATTGGTGCATGTCTCAGGTTATTATTCCAAGTCATTCTTGGAGAAGGTGCTCAGAGCTCTTTGGCCGAGTGCACAGCTGGGGAAAGAGCACCTGGAGTGGTCAGGGAGGAGGGAGACAGCAGCCGAGTCCACCCTAGCGACTGATGGGGTGACAGATGTCATAGCCAGAACGCCCTTACAAACTCTTAAAAAAACCCAAAAACCAACCAACAGCAAACCTTTTTATATTTTATCTTTGCTTTTCCAGTAGCTGCAGCCAGATCTCATTGTTCATTGTCTTTCTGCTCTGAGACATAAAGGTTTGGAGCTGAACTCTGAGAAGGTCAGCGGAATCTGTGAGGCAGCCCTCAGTACTACGGGCTTGCTAGGGACTGTGGCCATGGGAGTTTGGGGGACCCGCACCCTTGGAGGGCAGCACCTGCTCCTATTGTCTGGGGGCAGGGAGCTGTGGTAGGTGAGGTCCACACCGCAGGACTGAGCTGCACAGCCCCAGTGCCACTGTGACAGGCCCTGGGAGGTCCTGCTGGGCATGTGGAAGACGGCCGGCTGTGTCCATGGTGTGAGGAGGCACTGAGCCAGTCTGTGAGTGGAGGATGTTCCCGCCAGCCCTTCTGTGTAGTACTGTCTCAGGTCACTGGTTCAGACATGGTCTGGCCAAGTGTGGACTGTGTTGGCATCAGGAAAACCATCGCTCTCCATTCGGCATTGGGTTTCCTGTCGTTTTCCCTTGTTTCATATTCTTGGAGTCCTGGAGACTCCAAGTGAAGTCAGGACTGCGAGGTTATGTCTGAGAAGGGTCCTGAGGTCCAGGTTGGAATGGGGGTGGGGGATGGAGAGCCAGCGTCCTCAGGTCCTGCTGCAGTTTTAACTCAGATCACTCACTGGGTGTGGACTCAGGATGGTCCAGACGCAGGGTCCACAGACACAGTGGCCTAGAGGGAATTCCCCAGAGAATGCAGAGGAAGGAGGCAGGTGGGCGGAAGGGCATCAAGGCCTGTGGAGGTTCTCTGGGGTCCTCCTGCCCTGCCTGCTTTCACAGGCCCTCACCCTTCCTTCTGAAATGTGGAAGTTGACTCTGACTCACACAGTTGCTGGTGCAGCTCCTGAGACAGTGGCCAGAACCACACTTCGGTATCATCTGAATGCCAGGATGGGACTTTACGCATGATGTAGCCCATTTAGACATGGAGACACGTGCATGCACAGCGGTGTGAGAGCAGAAGAGACATGTAATCTATCATTTCAGCCTCCTTGTTGGTTAAGGTTTGAAACAGAATGAGTAGATATAATCAAGAATCCTCTTGCAGGTGAACTCGATCGATAGTCATGCTGATGGTGCCAGCACTGACAGAGATCTCCCGAGTCTGACAGACAGTTGCCTGTGCTCAGTGACTAACTGTCCTCACTGTGTTACCACAGAAGTCTGTTCTGCAGCTGCTAGTTAATAGCGTTGGGTCACTTGAGGTCCTCAGTTCTCGGGGCTGAATATCCTCATTTGCTCTGGACACTAGCAGGTGATAACCACGGCAGCAGCCAGAGTGTTTGAGTTCCCATTTATGATTAAACCGGCAGCAGCTGCCTTTGTTCCCTCTCAATGGGACCTGCTGTGTGTGACTGGCCGGCGATGGGGACATCTGAATGATCGTGTTTGCTGTTTGCAGGTTCTGCGGCTTCCCCTGCCACCTGCATCTCTCATTTGTCACAAACCGTTCAGGTGAGTCTGTGTGTCTGTTTCTTTGACCCAGTTTCTTCTCCTGTCTCTGGCTTTGAATTTACCCTTAGAGTTAGGTACTACTATTTGATAATCTAGTTCTCTTTTCATCTCAAAAATTAATTGGGGTGTAGTTCAGCAGTAGGGCACTTGCTTTGCATGTATAAGGCCCTGAATTAAATCCCCCAAATAAAAAGTAACTGGGAGGCATCACACACTATATTCATGCTGCTTTTCCTGGCGGATGCATCCTCCTGCTCTTATATGCCCCATGTAGTGGGAAAATCTTGTCTTCCAGTCAGCAGCTATACTGCCATGGCTCGATTGTGAAGAAGAAAATTCTGGGAGGAGGTTCTACTAGATTCTTAATTGAAGAATGTGTCCCCGAAGGGCTGCCATCAGGGACATTATCCATTTTTTTTTTAGCTCATTGTGCAAAAATTCAGAGTAAAAAAAAATTTTTTTTTTGGTGGGGCACACCCAATGGTGGTCAGAACTTCTTTCTTACTCTACACCCAGGGATTACTCCTGATGGTGCTCAAATGGGATGACAGGAATCAAATCCAGGTTGGCCACGTGCAAGGCAAGTGCATTACCTACTGGACTATTGCTTGGGCCCTTGATCTGATTTTTAATGTCATCAGAACCGGCTTCCTTCCATGTCTGGCTCATCGGGAGAGAAAACTCAGATGCAGGGGTGCATTGGAGAAAAGTTCATGCATCCCTCTGATTTAATGGTGGCTGTGATTGTCATGGGTTGGACATTTTCCTTTTGTCCTGCCACCACCTGGAGCATTGCAGATATGGGCCTGAGTAGTGAACCTGTGGTCCCTGTGCTGAGGGCGGCAGGACGGGAAGCCCTGCAGGTCGTAGCCATGGTTTCCCAGACCCTGGGACTCCTCTGCTCTTGACAGCGGTATCCGTCCTCCTCTTACTCCTTTCTGGGCCCGGAGCTCGTCAGTAAGTGTCTCTCCCAGGGAAGTGAGGGTCCTTCCACTGCCTGCTCCGCTTGCCTCAGGGGGTCTCATTTCCTGTGGTTGCTTCAAAACTCACCCCTCAAGCTGCAGGTGGACAAGCTGGTCTGTCTCTGCTGGCATATTTCCTCTCCCCAAGGTGCTTCTTGCAGCTGTTGACTGACACTCAAAGCTGGGACAGGTGCTCTGTGGCTACTGCTCTGACCTTCCTCCTGGCCAGGCTGGCCCAGAGTCCGCAGCTTGCTGGCCAGCCTCTTCTTAGTTTTCCTGACTGCTGGCTTGCCTTGTCCCAGCTGAGCCTTGAAGGAAATGAAGACTTCTTCCCTCTAGAGGGAGGAACAGTTGAGAGAGGAAATTTCAGGCCTTGATGCGTGTCCCCTGCCCTGTGCCCAGAGATGGTGACCTGCACGTCCTGTGTGGCTCCTGGCCCCGTCTCACAGAGTCCCTCTCTCCAGGTTGCCAGCTCTGAGTTGCACCATGGAAAACAGCCACGAGCTGGACCTCACTTACATCACTGAGCGCATCATTGCCGTGTCCTTCCCTGCGGGCTGCTCGGAGGAGTCCTACCTGCATAACCTGCAGGAGGTCACGCGCATGCTGAGGTCCAAACATGGGGACAACTACCTGGTGAGTGGGGGCCGTGGCCGAGACGGTGGTTGAGCAGGTATTAGCTGCCCTCGCCCCAGGCACCGTGTGGGGGTGACTGCAGCCCACCCACCTCTGACCTCTGAGTCCAGCAGCGTTTGCAGGGTTTTGGCGTGCACCAAGAATTGTGCAGGGACTCCTGTCCCCTTGGACGTGACAGGGAAGCGTCACTGTTCTGCAATGTGGCTGCCCCACCATCACCATGTGGGGGACCCCCACCCTGTCTTGCTTCCCCAGCTCCAGCACACGGCCTCAGACTGTCCCCCTGGCTGGCAGGCAAAGTGCCACCTCCCTCCTGTAACTGGAGGGTCATGTGAGTGTCCCAGAACCCGGTGGCTAGTGCATGGGTCTGAGGAGCAGTGTGGAGGGCGCTGTCTCATGCCAGGATCTGCCACGTGTGCCCCGGAAGACCTGGTATCTGGTGGCGGTGGCACTGTCCTGCTCACTTTCTCGTGTGGTGATCCCTGTGGGGTGAGTCAGCCTTCGGTCCGCCCTGACCTCCCTGTGAGACGCAGCTCGTCTTCCCCCTCTGTCCACATGTTCGTCCCAGAGGACTGCATGGCCCTGTCAGACTTCTGCAGCCTCTGTTGGGCCTGAGCTGGTGACCATGGCCGGCTGGAAGAGCTGTGGCCCTGGGTTCCTCTGGGAGGAGGACGTGTGTGAAGGCCCACCCGGCCCTGTTCTGAGTCTCCACTGTCTGTTTCTTAGAACTTTGCCCCACCCCCATGCCTTCCTGGGTAGTCACCTACTCCAGTCCACAGAACTCTGATCACCCACAGTCCACAGAGACCCTGGCAGGGCCCAGGGCTGCCATGTACTGGGCTAGGGTCGGCCAAAGTTCTTTCCAGACCATTCAGGGCCTCCTTGGGGCCAGAGTGCCCTTGCACCGTCCTGTGAGGGAGAATCATGGTCTGTTTTGAAAGAAAGGCTGAAACTGGGTTGTGCATCTCCTGAGCTGCGAAGCCTGTGAGAGTGAATCCCCCTCAGACCATGGCTAAGAGGATGAGGCCCGCTCAGAAGGGAAGCTGGGGCCCTTGTTTAGTGGCGCCATGGCTGGGGCTTCTCTCCACTCTGATCAGCATCTGGCTCTGAAGTGACGGGGGCCTGGAGCTGGATTTCTACCCCCCTCATGCTCCCATGAGTTTCTCTTTAGCTCGCTCAGGATGTGCTTCGTCCGGGCTTGGCGCGTGCGCCCTGCTCGGCTGTGCGTGTTGGTGACTCAGCAGGCTGTGCTCTGTGCCCCTGCTTGTGCCGGGTTGCTCCTGGGCAAGCTAGACTTCTCTTGCCACCTGGAAATGCCTGTTCTATTTTGTGTTTATTTCACGATAATTACATTTCTATACGTTTCAATTTTTTGCAGGTATTAAACCTTTCAGAGAAGAAGTATGACCTGACAAAGCTTAACCCAAAGGTATGGACGTGGCAGTTTTGTTCTGTTTCATAAACTATCCATGGACATTGTTTCTGCTGCAAAAGCTTCAAACTTTGTGTGATGTGACTCAGTAGTAGGTTAAGGGTTGGTCCTGGTAGGGATTCTTGTTTAAATGAAATACTGCTTTTTTGGTTTGAAATAATTATAAATTCACAGGAATTTGCAAAATGAACATAGAGATTTCCCTATATTCTTGACTAGGTATCCCCATGGTCACACCTTGCATGTTCAACAGTAACATAGCAACATCTGGAGTGCCAGAGAGTTGAGCCTATGTTGTTTGCAAGCAACCTACCCATTGTACTAGTGCAAAAGCCACGAATTGCATTCAGCCATGGGAGTTTTATGGGGGTAGGGGGTTGGGAGGGAGAGAGAGAGAGAGAGAGAGAGAGAGAGAGAGAGAGAGAGAGAGACAGAGACAGAGACAGAGAGAGAGAGAAGACCATTGGGCAAGCTATGGTATCTCTGTTCGCACACAGTTGACCCATGTACTTCAAGTGTTTGAACTGTGTAGGCCTATGTTTATGGGGATCTTATAAGCAGATATCATAAACTTAAGGTATTGATAAATAAAGGACAAAACTGCAAATGTACGTTTTTTAATGATTTCTCTCTCCCTCTTTTGGGGTTGGGGGACACACCCAGCAGTGCTCAGGGATCACTACTCACTCCTGGCAGGCTTAGGGGACAATATGGGGTGCCAGGGATTAAACCCGGGTCATCCACATGCAAGTGCTACCTGTTGTGCTGTCACTGTGGACCCTCTTTATGATTTTCTTGATAATGCTTTCTTTTCTCTAGCTTACATTATTCCATGAGTACAATAATCTTGTATTACAATGCAAAAATACTTGTCTTTAGCTTTTAGTTGGCAAGACTTAGTTGTTCAAGATTATATTTATAGTATAGAATAATAATACTATAATAATACAATAATATAGTATAACTATATTTCATATGTTGAAATATTTTCCAACCATTATGATAAAGCAAGTAAGAAAACAGGGGCTAGAGAGAGTACAGCGGGTAGCCTTGCATGTGGCCAACTAAGGCTGGGTCTCCAGCACTTGGAATTATGGTCGCCTGACTATACCAGGAGGGTCCCTGAGCACCAAGCCAGGAGAAGACTCTGGCCCCCCAAACACAATATTCACCAAAAACAAACAAGCAGTTAGTGGCCTGTTTTAATGCTAGCTGAACGCAGGATTTATGCTTCATGTGCTTCAACTGTGCCAAATTTTGACTTAGAAGTAGTCCAAAGGGATTCAACAATGTTAACAACTATGACCTCAAGGAAGTGCAAGGGGGTTATGAATTTTCCTGCTTTCTGGCAGTTTTCTGTGTTTTCTGTGAATTTATGCTATTTCTGTTGCCTTTATGTTAAGGTTCCTCTGAACCCTTTAATTAGAGGGGACAGGAAAGGGAGTAGTGATCAAAAAGTGTCCTAGGATCTGCATGTGCAGGTCCGGATGCTTAGAACTGCTAGTCTCATGGCAGATCCACTGAACTCTTCTCACATAACTCATGTCAGACCCACTGAACTCCTCTCACACATGACTCATGTCAGATCCACTGAGCTTCTCTCATATATGACTCATGAAGGTACACTGAGCTTCTCTCACACATGACTCATGTCAGTCACACTGAGCTCTTCTCACATGAGTCATGTCAGACCCACTGAACTCCTCTCACATATGACTCATGTCAGTCACACTGAGTTCCTCACATGACTTATGTCAGCCACAGTGAGCTTCTCTCACACTTGACTCATGTCAGTCACACTGAGCTCCTCTCACATGACTCATGTCAGACCCACTGAGCTCCTCTCCATTGACTCATGTCAGACACATTGAGCTTCTCTCAGACATGACTATGTCAGTCACACTGAGCTTCTCTCACATGACTCATGTCAGTCACACTGAGCTTCTCTCATGTGACTCATGTCAGTCACACTGAGCTCCTCTCACACGACTCATGTCAGACACACTGAGCTCCTCTCACATGACTCGTGTCAGTCACACTGAGCTCCTCTCACATGACTCATGTCAGACACATTGAGCTTCTCTCAGACATGACTGTGTCAGTCACACTGAGCTTCTCTCATGTGACTCATGTCAGTCACACTGAGCTTCTCTAACATGACTTGTGTCAGTCACACTGAGCTCCTCTCACATGACTCGTGTCAGTCACACTGAGCTCCTCTCACATGACTCATGTCAGACACATTGAGCTTCTCTCAGACATGACTATGTCAGTCACACTGAGCTTCTCTCACATGGCTCATGTCAGTCACACTGAGCTTCTCTCATGTGACTCATGTCAGTCACACTAAGCTTCTCTAACATGACTCATGTCAGATCCACAGAACTCCTCACATGATTCATGTCAGTCACACTGAGCTCCTCTCACACGACTCATGTCAGACACACTGAACTCCTCTCACATGACTTATGTCAGTCACACTGAGCTTCTCTCACACGTGACTCATGTCAGACACACTGAGCTCCTCTCACACGATTCATGTCAGTCACACTGAGCTCCTCTCACACGACTCATGTCAGACACACTGAGCTCCTCTCACATGACTTGTGTCAGTCACACTGAGCTCCTCTCACATGACTCATGTCAGTCACACTGACCTCCTCTCACGTGACTCATGTCAGACACATTGAGCTTCTCTCAGACATGACTATGTCAGTCACACTGAGCTCCTCTCACATGACTCATGTCAGTCACACTGAGCTCCTCTCACATGACTCATGTCAGTCACACTGAGCTCCTCTCACATGACTCATGTCAGACACATTGAGCTTCTCTCAGACATGACTATGTCAGTCACACTGAGCTTCTCTCACATGACTCATGTCAGTCACACTGACCTCCTCTCACGTGACTCATGTCAGACACATTGAGCTTCTCTCAGACATGACTATGTCAGTCACACTGAGCTCCTCTCACATGCCTCATGTCAGTCACACTGAGCTCCTCTCACATGACTCATGTCAGTCACATTGACCTCCTCTCACATGACTCATGTCAGACACATTGAGCTTCTCTCAGACATGACTATGTCATTCACACTGAGCTCCTCTCATATGACTTGTGTCAGTCACAGTGAGCTCCTCTCACACGACTCATGTCAGACACACTGAGCTCCTCTCACATGACTTGTGTCAGTCACACTGAGCTCCTCTCACATGACTCATGTCAGACACATTGAGCTTCTCTCAGACATGACTATGTCAGTCACACTGAGCTTCTCTCACATGACTCATGTCAGTCACACTGAGCTTCTCTAACATGACTCATGTCAGACCCACTGAACTCCTCACATGATTCATGTCAGTCACACTGAGCTTCTCTCACACGTGACTTATGTCAGACACACTGAGCTCCACTCACATGACTTGTTTCAGTCACACTGAGCTTCTCTCACACGTGACTCATGTCAGACACACTGAGCTCCACTCACATGACTTATGTCAGTCACACTGAGCTTCTCTCACACATGACTCATGTCAGTCACACATGACTCATTTCAGACCCACTGAGCTCGCTCACACATGACTCATGTCAGACACACTGAATCCTCTAACATGCCTGACTCATATCTGACACAATAAGCTCCTATCACACACACGACTCATGTCAGACCCACAGAGCTCATGTCACACCTGACTCATTTCAGAGCCATTGAGGTCTTCTCACACATGACTCATGTCAGACCCACTGAGCTCCTCTCACATGACTCATGTCAGACCCACTGAGGTCCTCTATATGGAACTCATGTCGGACTCAGTGAGCCCTCTCACACATGATTCATCAGACCCACTGAGCTCCTCACATGTGCTATGACTCATCAGACCCACTGAGCTCCTCTCCCACATGACTCATGTCAGATCTGTGAGCTCTTCAGCACAGCACAGAATTCTCTCTGTGATGTGCTGTGATCAGTGTTGAAGGTTCTCCCAGAAGATGTTTGTTCTAGACACGTGCCCTCTGGCTGCTCCCAGATGCTTCCTGGGCATGCCTTCTGCATTTCTCCAAACTGTGATTGCGTCTTTTAAGAGGAATTTGGCAGCAACTATGGCCAAGAATTTGGCTGGGAGTCAGGGGCCTGGGGGGTAGGGTTCCTGGAGTCCCCTAGGGTTCCTGACAGTCAGTCACCATCCTTATATGCCCCACAGGCCAAAGGGCTGGTTCCATCTGAACCCTGATCCTCACAGAGCGAGAGACTACACTCGGAAATGGAGGATTCGTGGCCTCTGACCTGGGGACTGGGCAGCTGAGCAAGGGGAGGCCGGGCGCCTGGAGCCTCACACTCAAGCCTGCATCTCAGTGAGAGGTCATCGCCAATCTGAAAGGACTCGTGCGATGCCCCTGAGTCCTGTGGTTCATACACACCTGAGAGAGAAGCAACAGAGAGTGCCCAGGTCCCAGGAAACAGCAGAGTCCCCGATGCAGAAATGCTCTGGAGGACCCCTCAGGCTCTCTCTCACTCAGAGCCCCGGAGGCAGAGGGTCTCCAGGATCCACCTCAGAGACACATGCAATGACACCCCAGTCCACAGGGCGATGGGCTTGAGTCTCTTACACCCCATGACCCTATACCTGGAGCTCAGATCCTGGCCCAGAGTCCCCCTGCTCTCTGTGTGGCGCCCCCTGTGGCTGCGGGCGGTAGTGCAGTCAGGCAGGGCTGGGCAGTGGAGCTGTGAGGCCCAGGGACCCTTTCTCAAGCACTCAGTTGTTTGCTTCCATGGAAAGGAGATAAAGCAGGAGAAGGAGGCAAAGGGGAGCAGCTGTGACTCTCTGCCAGAGAGGGAGTAGAAGGTGCCCTGACCAGTGAGAATGGACAGAGGAGTGGAATTGCTCCATGGGACATGGAGCAGGAGGTACATGAAGAACGTTCTGGTGGAGCGGCTGCTGGACCGTGTCAGAACGGGGGAGGCTGCGTGAGCCTGATGGAAGAAGGGTCCTCTGTATGCAAACTCCTAGCCCCTTCCCTAATCTTGCACCCCCAGAGTGCTGACACCTGTCCCTGCAGGGCCTTTCTGAAGTCCTTCTGAATGTGACCAGGGAAATGTACTTCTTCTTTTTCTTTCTTAAGAAAGGAAAAGAGAAGAAAGGAAAACAAAAGAAAAGAAAGAAAAGGTAAAAAGGAAGCCCCCATGGGCAAAGCAAGAGGGATTTGCAGAGGGCGGGTGGGGGGGAGGCAGAGGGCGGGTGGGGGGGAGGCACAGCTGACGGGGACGCGGGCGAGAAAGCCTCGCTGCGAGGCGGGGCGGGATCTCTTGGGGGCGGGGCCTCGGCCGCGCGCAGGCGCAGGCGCAGTCAGGCTCAGGTCGCCGCCTCCGCGCCACTGGGTCGCCGCTGCGCGTGCGCAGAAACTGCAGGCGCAGGCGCAGTCAGGCTCAGGTCGCCGCCTCCGCGCCACTGGGTCGCCGCTGCGCGTGCGCAGAAACTGCGCCGCGCGCGCCGAACCAGGTCCCTGCTGCCGCCGCCGCCCTCGCTGCCGCCGCCGGTACCTGCCGCTGATGCTCCCCGGCGCTCCTCTCGCAGCGCCTCGCTCTGTCCTCTTGTCCCCCGGCTGCGGGACGCCCTCCCCGGCCTCCGAGCTGCCCGCACCGCCCTCCCGTCCTCAGCGCTTCGCCCAGCGCCCCCGGAACGGCGCCGCCCCCACCCCGCCAACGGCTCCTTTCCGGACGGTCCGGTTAATCCGCACTATCAGAATTACTTAGTTTATTTTGCTTTTTGGGGGGTCACACCCGGCGACGCTCAGGGCTTCCTCCCGGCTCTGCGCTCGGGAATTACCCCGGCGGTGCTCGGGGGACCCTGTGGGATGCTGGGAATCGAACTCGGGTCAGCCACGTGCAAGGCAAACGCCCTCCCCACTGTGCTCTCACTCCGGCCCCCCAGAATTGCTTTACGAATTTTAGTTTTGGGGCCACACTCTGCCTGCGTGGAACCACTCTTGGCGGGCGTTGGGGACCATGTGGGGTGATGGGGCTCCAACCTGGGGTCGCCATGTGCACGGCAAGTGCCCTACCCACAGTGCTATTGGGGTTTTTCTTTGTCCCAGAATTATAATTTGAAACAAAATCATATTGTAGCCGGATATCTTACACTTTTTTCTACATGTGACCTCATTTCACCCAAGGCACTTATGCACAATCCAGGCATATCAAACATTTAGTATCACGGTGATGGTCACGGTCCTCCCGTTGTTCATCAGTTTTTTCGAGCGGGCCCAGTAACATCTCCATCTCCATAGTAACTTCGTGGGCTGGAGCAATAGCGCAGGTAGGGCATTTGCCTTACAAGCAGCCAACATGGCCGACCCGAGTTCGATTCCTCCGCCCCTCTCAGAGCCCGGCAAGCTACCGAGAGTATCTTGCCAGCACGGCAGAGCCTGGCAAGCTACCCGTGATGTATTCAATATGCCAAACACAGTAACAGTAAACATTTAGTAATAATTACAAATTTATTGTGAAACTCGTTTTGCTACATTTACATTTGGTTATGCAACCCCATACTGTGTCATGACCATATGGGACGATGATCGGTTTTAAGAAGCTAGGCTCTATAGTCATATCGGTTTTATTGGGTGGTCCATTGGCTATGTACTTGCCTTACTTGGAAACGAGAACTTGATTGTTCTCTATTTTGTTGTAAGCGGACAGATTGCGGTATTCATTCTCTTTTAGTTATATATATTTTGCTTTTTCTTGGGTCACACCCAGCGATGCTCAGTGGCTACTCCTGATTCTGCATTAAAGAATTACTCCTGGTGCTCAGGGGACTCTATGGGATGCTGAGGATCGCCGTGTGCAAGGCACATGCCCTATCCGCTGTACTACCGTTCCCACCAGTTAATTTTTTAGATTAGAGTTTTGTCTTGATATTTCTTGATAATATAAAATTGGAAGTCCTAAACAAAAATGATTTTTTTAATTTAAATTTTTCTTCCTTTACAACTGAGAACACTTCTGATAAGATTGATGCAACAAAAAATAGATGCCTGTATGTTCACTGAATAGTGAAAGATTTAGCTATCTAAGAAAAGCTATCTGATATAGCCCTTAGGTAGTATTCAAATGGTTTAGAATAAGTACAATTGATTATGATGCATATTTTAAAAGTGTTAAAAACCTTTAATTATACCTCTGCCAAGTTTTAAAATTGCTGTACTTAACACATTTTGGAGGCAATTTTATGTCACCTTCAGTGTTTAATGTTTATTTAAAGCAAGGCATAGGAATAGAAGAAGAAACAGGTGGCTCTTACTTGTTTTTCCCCTCTCAGTGTGGAGAATTTTCGGAAACTATCACAACTAGGTAGTATACTCTGTCCCTTTTGAAAAGTAACCACAGACACGCATACTTGTTTTTATTTGTAGTGCCAGTCCTCCATCTGGAAGTGAAGAGGAAGCTGCTGAAAATGGTGTACCTAAACCGGTAACATAAGGCTTTGGAATTCAGTCGCTTCCGTATTTAAAATCTGTAGATTTCTAGTTAAGAAGAAAGTCTAAATTTAGCTAGACTTTTGAGTATCCTGCACAATCTGGTTGTCAGGTATTTTTATTTGATGCACAGTGAAAAGAAATAGTGGGAAGGTATTCAGATGAAATAGAGTGTGTGCGGAGGTTTATTGCTTTCATTTGAGTTCTGTTAGATTATCACAGTTCTTTTAAAAAATAATTGGTTTTTTTGGTTTTGTTTTTAAGCAAGATGTTATTTATATGTTGGTCTCTGACCTCATTCACCTTCAAAGTGATGTTTTGCAGGATTAATTTACCATGGTCTTTTGGAGATTTTAATATATTCAATTATTTCTATGAAACAAGGAGATTGGTACTCTGCAGGATTAAACTTGTCCTGGTAAAAATGTTTTTCCTAGGTTCATGTTTTTCCGTCTTTTTCAGACTCTGGCCCCTTCCAGCCTTTTGTTCCACATGTGGCCTGGTGGCCTGCCCTCTCCTGCTAATGGTCCTCTAGTCTCCTACTTTCTCCCACCCATGGGAATTCTGCCCGTTGCCCCTTGGAACATCCTGGTCTCATACTGTCTCTTATTGATAAATACTGGTTTAAATGGTGCTTTTTTGAAGTTAACTAATAGGATAGTATGGACAAAATAGCTGTTTAGAGCCAGAATAACACTTTCCTAAGTATGCTGATGTTTTTTAGTTTTTCAGATAAAATATATTCCCAGTCATTATGTGGCAAGACCTCTTCTAGCTATAAATGAATGCCATGACTGGTGAACTCTTTGGTAACATTTTGTTGCTTTTCAACCTAACACTGTGCCCAGTATGATTTTTTTTTTCTTTTCGGGTCACACCTGGTGATTCAGTAGCTCTGCACTCAGGAATTGATCCTGGCAGTGCTCAGGGGACCATATGGGATGCTGGTAATCGAATCCAGGGTCAGCCGTGCTCAAGGCAAATGCCCTCCCTGCGATGCTATCGCTCCAGCTCCATAATTAATTTTTCACTCTTATCTTCACATTCCTTTTGCCAAAAGTTCTTCAAATACCTACTTTTTATGGTTCTATCTGCTGGATATCTTAGCACATTCCCTTAGATCTTTTTTGCAAGAGAGAAACCTTTAAATATAAAGATATATTAGGCAGTCATAAAAAAACTTCTTGAAAGCGTCTTTTTTCACATTTCTATCACTTTTTTAGGTTTTAAAACACTAAAGTTACAAAGAAGAAATGGAAACATTGGTTTCATAACTCTAAAGCCATAGATGAAACAAATTGGTTACTTTTTCAGATACTAGACGTTGAAGGTGGATTATTGAATGTATTTTATTACTGTTTATGTTGGTATAGAAAGTGACTGAAAATGAATATGATAGTGGCAGTGACAGTGATGATGATGAGGATGATGTTCATGTCACTATCGGAAACATTAAAACGGGAGCACCACAGTATGGGTAAGTTTTTAAATTTTAAATTTCAAGTCTTCTGGTGCAGGGGATGCAGGGAATTGATCCCAGGACCACATACATGTGAAGTATGGACTCTCCCACTGAAGTACATCCTTTACTCCTTTAACTAACAGTTCTGTATCAAAAACTGGGTGCCATTATTAAGACGTTAGTGATAGATTCTGTTGGTTTTACATTTTTTATCATATGATATGAAAGCATTCTTATTTAAGTTTTACTTTCAGTTGCTAAAACTTGTACATCTTAAACATTCTTATAAGAAAAAAATGAAAACTGTGATGATGAATGTTAACTTGCTGTGATTAGCATTTTACAGTTAATATATATATGTATATGTATATCAAGTCATGTTGAACACCTAAAACAAATACTTTGTTATTTATATCTCAAAAAATATTTAGCCATGGAAAACATTTCCTTCCTAATGGTGAATTGAATTATAAAAGTTGCATGGAATCAGTAATTTGTAATTCTAGAACTGAAAGTGTTTTTGTAAAATGAGTGCTACAAACTTTTGGATTTAGAAACTATTAAATTGCTGCTTGTATTCTCCCAATCTTGAGCTTTGGTTTTTTATATATGTTATATGTGTATATATTTTAAAATAAGGCCAAAATCTTGTGGTGTTGGGGATCCTTTCAGTGGTATTCATGGTACAGGATCTGACATGTTAGGCATGTACTTTTATTTGAGCTATTTTCTTAGCTCTAGGATTTTAATATTTTTAATTCAGTTTTTTAATTGATTTTTAAATATCAGAAGGCTTTTGTTTTAAAACTCTCTATCGCTTGTTTCTTTAGTTTGGGGGAGTAGGAGCACACCCAGAGATATTCAGGTGTTACTCTGGAATCGATCCTTTAAAAAATACATATTTAGCAGGGGTGAGGGTTGGAGCCACACCCAGCTGTGCTCAGGGCTTGCTCCTATCTCTGTACTCAAGGATCACCCCTGTTGGGTTTTAGGGACCATATGGGGTGTCAGGGATCAAACCCTAATCAACTGTGTGCAAGGCAAGTGCCTAACCTGCTGTGCTATCTGTCTGGCCCCGAAGTTTTAAAATATTTTAAAATGTATTTTAAAAATATATTTCAGAGTTTATTCCAGATTTTTCTGTAGCTTTGAATGGCTGTCTGCGTGGGATGCTGAATCCAGAGTAACCCAGCAGCTTCCCTGTTAAAGAAGATACTTTATGAAAATTCACTTAAAAAAAGACTAAATCTCCTATCTTGAATCTCTGCATATAGTGTAACTTGATAGTATATTTTTTAAAAAGTAAGTAAGGCCCTCCCGTTGTTCATCGATTTGCTCGAGCGGGCCCAGTAACGTCTCCATTGGAGACTTTGTTGTTACTGTGTTTGGCATATTGAATATGACACGGGGAGCTTGCCAGGCTCTGCCGTGCAGGCGAGATACTCTCGGTAGCTTGCCGGGCTCTCCGAGAGGGGCGGAGGAATCGAACTCGGGTCGGCCATGTTGGCTGCGTGCAAGGCAAACGCCCTACCGCTGTGCTATCGCTCCAGCCCCAATAATTTAAAATGATTTTTAGGGGCTGGAGAGATAGCACAGCGGGTAGGGCGTTTGCCTTGCATGCGGCCGACCCAGGTTCGATTCCCAGCATCCCATATGGTCCGCTGAGCACCACCAGGAGTAACTCCTGAGTGCAGAGCCAGGAGTAACCCCTGTGCATCGCCGGGTGTGACCCAAAGAGCAAAAAAAAAAAAATGATTTTTAGTCATTAGTTACAGACATTCAGTATTCCAACACCAATCCCACCACCATTACCCCTTCTCACCACCATTATTTCCAATTTTCCCAACTACCACTTGAACATGCCCCCATAGCAGACCCACTATCATTTATCTTACATTGCTTCTTATAAATAATTTGCTAAAAGGATGATCAAAAGATGTTTCCTTAGAAGAAACATTGTGAATTTTTTTTTATTTTTTTTGCTTTTTGGGTCACATACAGTGATGCACAGGGATTACTGCTGGATTTCCACTCAGGAATTACTCCTGGCTGTGCTCAGGGGACCATATGGGATGCTGGGAATCTAACCCGGGTCGTCCATGTGCAAGGCAAACACCCTACCTGCTGTGCTATCGCTCCAGCCCCAGTAGTGAAGATTCTTCTATCTCAGCATGGAACCTTTCAACCCTTGTGTAAGAGATTACTAAGACATTACAGGTAAAGCCTTCTGTATATAGATTTTGTCAATTGAAATTGGTTGCCTTTCATATTACATACCATCCAGTCTGGTGTGCTACTTCTGGCTTAACAGTGTTACAGAGTTAGAGATGTTGCGTAGCCAGAATTGCATCCACACACTCCAGGGTGTCCAAAAGTGTTGACGGAGTAACAGATGGAGTGAAATTCTTAACTGGTGGCTTTGGGGCATAGGCCTGACGGCTGGGCTTCCAGAAGCACAGAGGGTAGTCTGTGCCCGATCTCTGAAAGCTGATTGTGGAATGTGGAGGTTTTTGGCTGCTGGCACGCTGTTTGGGTGGACGTGGGGGTTCACCCGTCCCTCTCTGGGTTGCTCCTGGATGACTCAGCCTTGTGCAGGATCCGAGAGAAATTCTTGATCTCTTTCAAGATTTATTTCTAAGTTTGTTATTCTAATTTAATCTGGATCATGGCCTGTGAGAGAGCTCACATGGCGCTGGAGGTGTTCCTGCCGGGCTTCCAGAAGAACAGGGATACATGGAGGGAGGGAACCCTCCCTGGCCTCATGAAAGCTGGAGATTTCAATCACAAAACCTGCATGCTGGAGCTTTTCAAAATTAATTTCTGGATGAGATTTGTCCAGATAGTGGAGTCCGGCCAGGAGCAAACTGATGATTGTGAAACATCCAAAAATTTTTAAAAAGAATTATCAGGAGGGGTCGAGTGAAAATGACCATGAAAAAGAGCTGTGGAGAGACAGTTTTTGTGGATGGAAGTTGCAGAGTTGGGCTGTAGAGGGTGGAGAGGTAAGTGGAAAGTGAGGGAGGGGTCCATTAGCACAGACCTCTCTAGAAGGCTGACTGTGAATCCATGTTATATTCTTTGATCTAAATTAAAATAGGTGGATAAAGAAGATACATTTGAGTACTAAACAGAATTATGGGTAACTTGGAGAACTCAATGGCTTCACGGCTTGTCGAGAAGTTAATTGAAAATATAACTGATCTGGTTAATGTGGGAGAAGCATGTTAAAATGAAATACTTTGACATACTTACTTGAAATTCCTTTGGACTCCCAGGTATGTGGGATCTAGCACTTCGTGGCTATCTAAATTACTGTTAAGGAAAATGTATACAGGTCTTAGGCCAAAATTACATAAGTAATATTGGATAAACCTTGAATGTGATTGGGGTTCTGGCTCCAAATTTTAGCTTTTCCCTCTGTTTTCTGGTATATTTTACTACTCTAAATGAAATTGAGTTCATCTTTACAAGAGTTACGTTTTCATGTAACTTCCACGCAGATCAGGATATGGAATGGTACTCGCATTCTAGAAACCTGTTCCCTATTGTTTTCTCTCCGTCATTAACCACTTACACCAACAACCACATTCTGGTTTTGGTTTAGCTTGATTTCATTTTATGAATTTATTTTATGGACAAAAGTAGTCCATGTATTTGAAAGACGATCTACCAACAATATTGAATGCAGTGAGAGCCTAAAGGAGATCATTGGATTATAAAACAAGGACTATTTCTTATTACTTCTTTCTTACAGGATTGCTGACTACTGAATTAAGTAGGAGGCAAAGAAATGAGGACAAGGTGCATATATAAATGTATTACTTACCCTTTAGGGCTGGAGTGACAGCACAGTGGGTAAGGCGTTTGCCTTGCATGTGGCCAACATGGCGACCTGGGTTCGATTCCTCCGCCTGAGAGTATCTCGCCCCCAGAGTAAAGTCTGGCAAGCTACCTGTGATGTATTTAATATGCCAAAAACAGTAACAACAATTCTCCCAATTTGTTGTGAGACGTTACTGGTGCCCGCTCGAGCAAATCGATAAACAACGGGAGGACGGTGCTACAGTGCTACTTTCCCTTGACCAGCTTAGTTTCTTGGGAAGTGTGTAACAGTGGGACATGTACTGGCAGGTAGATTTTTGAAGAAAAAAACAGTTCAACTTTTAAGACCCCCTTTTGGGGGGGGCACGGGGGAATTGGGGAGTGGAGTGGCTTCCTAAGTGGTGTTCAGTGCTAATGGCCTGAAATGAATTTTTTTAGGGATAGGCCTGCCAGGTGTTGCTCCAGGGCCCCCTTGCCCTTGGGGATTTCCTCCTGTTGATTCTTGGCTGTTTGAGCAGCAGTGACAGTGCTTGGGACCCCTGAATAATAATCTGGCAGTGTGCGAGGGGTCAGATTGTGTTGGGGATGATGCCCAGGTCATGCTCATATTATGTATGTGCCCTAACCCAAACATATAAGATGTAATTGTTTCTTTTGTGGAAGAGTCCTCCCTTTGTTCAGGTGGCCCAGGCCTCACTGCGAGTGATTCTCAGCCCAATGGTAGGTGGTTTAATTTGAGGGCCAATGTATGTGGTCTGATTTTTCCAGTGGTGCTCAGGTGCTCCCAAGGCCACATCTGGCAGTACTTTTGAAGGCCTTCTGCACTATCTTTCTTGATCCCAGAATTATCTGTTTTTTTTAATCTACTGTTTAATAAGTGACAAAAAATTAAGACTTTTTTCCCCCCTAGGGGCCAGAGAAATAGTACAGCGAGATAAGTAAGTCACTTGATTTGCCTGTAACCAGTTTAGTTTGATCCCCAACACCACCTGGTCCCCCGAGCATTACTGAATTGGCTCTGAAGGTCTCTGAGCACAACTGGGGTACTCTAGATAATCCTTGGTACTGCAGTGCTTGAAGAACATTGCATTCTCAGACCCAGGCATTGAACTGCCGACCACAGTAATGGCAGGAAGGGACCCTTAGGTCCCCTAATCAGCACTTCGGAACCCTCCCCCACACCCACTTTTTTAAAACATGTTAGTCAATGTCAGTCTATATATGTATAACTTGTATACATGGAGTATATTGCTATTTTTGTTTAGTTCAGGATTATCAGAATAATTTTTGTTGTTCTTAGGAGTTACGGAACAGCATCAGTGAATCTTAATATCAAGACAGGAGGAAGAGTTCATGGAACTACAGGTAAAATTTGTATTTGCCAGTGCATCAGTAGGAAAGTAATGACTATAGCTGAAGAACGTACAGACTATAGTAGCTGTCACAGGTGATCTGAAGAGTGCTTCAGTTCAATTCAAGAGAGTCGTTTAAACTTGTGTCTCAAGGATGGGGAAACTTTTCTCTGTGAAAGGCTTTGTAAAAGAATACGTGTTTGTAGAATTTGTGGGCCACGAGGTTTCTTTTCCTCTTTTGATTTTAACTTGTTTGTACAACCCTGTAAGACCTGTTATAGTTCACAGCATATAAAAAGGGATTTAATACCTGGAAGTACAGGAATTTATTTGAATGAGCTAACAAGTTCCTAATCCATACACTTTATCTTAGAGTTTCTTCCCTAAAGTTTAAACTTACTGTTATTGATAACATGCTTATTCTTATAGTATGCCCGACTTTAATGTTCTCATTGAAGCCTTTGTTATATTGAGAGCTATCACTAGTAAAATGGTGTTTTCTGTTTTTCTCTCAGTATCTTGCTCATGCCATTCTTTCTCTATTTTGTATTTATTAAAAAAGGAACAGAAATCAAAGGGGTAGAGCTCGATGCACCTAGAAGTATTAATGGAGTTCCACTCTTGGAGGTAGATTTGGATTCTTTTGAAGATAAACCATGGTGTAAACCTGGTAAGATGATAAATGACTCCATACCCCTCCCTGGGACCAGCCTCAGTGACCCTCAAGGTCCTGGGGCACTCAGTGTGTGTGATGCTCAGTCTTCTGGGATGAACATTGTGGTACCCGGGAGTGTGCTCCAGGCCACTGAGCATGTGCTCTAATACTCGAGCTGTTTCCCCAGCAGAAGAGGACTGGATTTTTCTTGGGAACACGTGATGGTGCTTGAGGTCTGCTGGCAATGACTGGTTCCCTTGTGTGCTTGTGATCAAACCTGGGCATCTATATTCAAAGCATTCATTCTAGCTCTTTGACTTATCTCTCTGGATTGCAGATTTTTAAAAGATGTTTCATATTAAAGTCATTAGAGAAGTACCTAACTTTCAGTATCAATAGTATTCATAGGATTTTTGTAAATGTCATTATAAATGTCCTAAGCATAATTAGCAGTAATGACCTGTGTTGCTAAATTGTAATAGTTGCTTAGCATTATATTAGTCTTGCATAGCATACTATTTTATTATAATGCCATTTATAAAGGAAATTTCATTAAAAACATAGTTTGTGGTGCTAGAGTAATAATCGGAAGAACTAGTAAAATTTGAAGAGGTGTTTAAATTGATAGAACTTATCATTTACATTTTTATATTTTATTTGCTGCATAAAAATAGGATTGAAATACTTGCATACAAAAGTTGTGTCTTCTTTTTAGGCACTGACCGTTCTGATTATTTTAATTATGGGTTTAACGAAGATACCTGGAATGTTTACTGTGAAAAATGAAAAAGGATACGAATGGGGCTTGAAGTTATACCAGTTACCTCAATTACAAATAAAATTATGGTATTTAGTAAACATTTCAAAATACCCCTGTCTTTTCTATTTTCTATTCACTTTTTTTCCCTAATCGCTTTTTCCTCATAAAGGTGATTTAAATACTGTGTGATAGTTTAAAATTCCGTTCTTTTTATCGTATTTTTTCCCCTTCTCTTTCAGAGTTCTATGTTAATGCTTATCTGATATTTAGCTACAAGTCAGTGACTAGTGACAGCTAGTTTGTATTTGTATGGCCTATCAATTCAAAATCATGGTATCTGAATGGGGAATATGTGATTTCACTTAGGCCAATGACTGTTCTATGGAAGTTACACCAGGTGCAGAGATCCAAGATGGCAGATTCAATCTTTTTTTTTTTTTTTTTGGTTTTGGTTTTTTGGGTCACAACCAGCGATGCACAGGGTTTACTCCTGGCTCTGCACTCAGGAATTACTCATGGTGGTACTCAGGGGACCATCTGGGATGCTGAGAATCGAACCTGGGTCAGCCGCGTGCAAGGCAAATGCCCTACCCGCTGTGCTATTGCTCCAGCCCCAGATTCAATCTTTTTTTAAGGTGAATTTTAGTAAATTATCCTTGCTTGCTCTCATTTTTTGTTCTTTAGTCTTCTCCCATGCCACTACTCAAGGGACAAGATTAGAGTGGATATAGCTTCTTTATTCCCAAACCTTCAGCTTCCTGGTGATGTACAAGTTTGCTGATAGTTGTTTCATCTCCACTTTTGCAAGCATGTGAATTTGTACCCTGTTATACTAACAAATGCAAAGTAAAGTTCTTGCTCTATGTTGTGATTTTATTTTGAGTCATAGCCTATGTTTGTTTGTTGGATATAAAAGTTCTTCCAACAGGTTATGCTGTTATATAGACCATAATATAATCTATCAAAATTGGAGGCTTAAATTTTCCTTGTTGTTTTTTTTAACAATGGTAAGGAAAATGGCAATCTGAATATCTCTATAACTTTGAATGTTGTATGTATTGCAGTTTGGGCATTCTTTAAGAAAAGAGTCTCTTAAAAAAATTGTGGATTTATTATTATTTACAATGACTAGAAACATTTTCTGGAAAGTGAATTTTTATTTTTACTGGTTGTTTATATTTTCCTTGAATAGAACAAAGAAAGTTCCTTTGTAAACTTCCAGCTTCCATATACTTTTGTCTCTTTGCAGTAAACTTCTAAAAGTAAAGAATATAAAGGAAACGATGGTTTCCATTGAAGGTAGCCTTCATGAATACCTTGCTGATATGTATACTGCTTTACTGCAAAGTTGTTTTGAAGAGTTTTTTTCTGGTTTGGAGTAGAGGTCATTTTTCCATTTTAATTTGTGATTCTGAATGAATAAGGGTTTGAGTTGGATAAGTATAGTCTGTTGGTTTTTTTACCTTGATAATGTGCTTAAATATTGCTTGTCTTGTAGAAATACTGATTAGGGAATAGGGTATGTATTTTTTGTTTGTTTGTTTGTTTCGGGACCACATCTGTTGGTGCTTGGGGAATACTCCTGTCTTGGTGCTCGGGGGGACTTCTTTTGATGATGGGAACTTGATGGTGATGGACATTAAACATGGGCCTCCTGCATGCAAAGCATGTGGTCAGCCCATTGAGCAATCTCTCCAGTCATTCAACTTCATTACTGTGTGCAGCTCACGTTTTTTTTTTCATTTTGCTTACTGTTGTCTGTAGGATCTTTTAAAATAATGAAAATGTGTTTGAGCGCAGTTGATATTTTTAAGCTGCAGTTTAAATTTCTGAAAGTGCCATGTTAAAGTTAAGATTTTCAGAGTTTTGTGGAATATTTAAAAAAATGATTACTTGTCTTTTACCATGTATCATGTAAATGGTGATTAGTAAAATGTTACAAAGTTCTTATCAGTAATGCAAACACAAAGAGGTAAATGTGTGAGGTCCTAAGTGTGAAAAGGCATATTTTAGATAAAAATATTATCGTTTCTAGGGAATTACAAGAATTAATATGAAATCAGATATTACTTTGGTATGTAAAATTATTGTGATGCTAAATATAGCTTGTTTCAGTGCTTTCTTATTAAAAAATCTTTAACTATGTCAGTTTTATTGTGATACCAGGATTTACAGTATCGTAAATCATTGATTTTGTGCATACCTCTTTGCAGTACCACACGTAACACCAGCGACTAATTCCTTTGACTGATGTCTCAAGGACCTTTCCCAATTCTCCACCCTCCCCACACCAACATTCATGCAACCTCAGTTCTATAGATAAAAACTTTCTGTTTAGACTATAGAAGAAAAACAGTATGCAATATTAGAGAAGTGTGTATTACTGTATTGGGTTTGAGGGTATAGAGAAATATTCTAGATGGAGGAAATTCTAGTTCTGTGCGGTGGGTGACCGCGGCGTCCCTGCAACATTCTCTGTCCTCAGCCTTCCCCGCTTCGCCTTCTGAATGCCATGCGGGTCTTCCCCAAGGCTGCTGCCACCCCATCCGCAGTTCTAGGCCGTGGTCACATTGTATTCGCGTGCGCCGCCCACTCAGCCCAATGGGCCTGCAACCTGCAGCCGCTTTTCCAGTCCTCTCCGTGAAGGTGGGTTGGCGCTTGGCTGGGATTGGGGCCATGGGAAGCAGTACTGGGCTGGGGCACCTTGCACTGCCAGATACCCCCTGCCCCCCCAGCTTCCCACTGCCTTGCAGTGTCTACCAGTATCCAGGCAACACACTGCGAGTCCCCACAGGCTGTCTTCTGCAGAAACTCCGAGGCTGGTTGCAGTAAGAGACTAGCTGGAAGGGTCAGAGCCCAGTTCCCAGCCTCCACTGGAGGCTTTGAGGGGGTCCAATGTGCGCTTGACAGTTCTGCTGCCTGGAGGGACTCGCGGCCAGCATCATCGCTCTGTCTTCCGCCCACTGTTCCCGGTGCCCACCCTGAGTTCCCATTTCCCACTGAAAACATTCTTCCCTTTGGGTGCTCCTGGGGCTCCACGGTCTCCAGCTCCTGAATTCCATCTTTAGTCCCATTCTTTTGTCTGGCCCATTTCCATTCTTCTGTGGTTCGGTTCAATTTTGGTGGAGCAGGGTTGGGTGTGGAGGGGATGGGGTTAGAACCTAGGGGTCCCCCGCTCCGCTGTTTTCCCGTGCAGACCCCCACCCCCTCCCATACCTCTGAATATATGAATGAGAATTATGGTTTCCAAGCCTTTCACATGATAATTCTAAGCCTCCTCTGATTGGCTCCCTGAAGTGGCTTCTCTTGTGGTCATTCTCACTCCCCGTCCTTTTGTCCTTGCCTGCGACTTGATCAGACATGAGAACACCCCTTCGTGTGACCACAGACTCTTCTGCTCCTCTGCAGACCCAACACCTGCTTCAGCCCCTACTCCAACCCCTAGGAGTGAAATCAAGGTCTCATGGACCTTATTTGCTTTGCAGACAGTAAGCTGCAGCTAAACTCTGGCCATCTCACAGTCATATTACAGCTGGATTTGAAAACGTTTTTGGCCATAGCAATTGAAAAGCTGGAGCGATAGCACAGCAGTAGGGCATTTGCCTTGCTCGCAGCCAACATGGCCGACCCGAGTTAAATTCCTCCGCCCCTCTCGGAGAGCCCGGCAAGCTACCAAGAGTATCTCGCCCGCACAGTAGAGCCTGGCAAGCTATCTGTGATGTATTCGATATGCCAAACACAGTAACAACAAGTCTCAAAATGGAGACGTTACTGGACCTGCTCCAGCAAATCGATGGACAACGGGAGGACAGTGATAGTAAAGAGGGGGAAAGCTCTTGGCTTCCACTTGCTAACACTGGTTGGATCCCTGGCATCCGGTAAGGTCTCCTAAGACCCACCAGGAGGGGTTCTTGAGTGCAGAGCCAGGATGAAGCCTGGGCATTGCCAGGTGTGGCCCCAAACCCCAAAATAAATAAATACACTTATATCCATTTTGGGCTGGAGCAATAGCACAGCGGGTAGAGCGTTTGCTTTACAAGCTACCGAAAGCTACCGAAAGTATCTCGCTCCCACTGCCAAGCCTGGCTAACTACCCATGACGTATTCGATATGCCAAAAACAGTAATAGAATCTCACAATTTGTTGTGAAACGTTACTGGTGCCCACTCGAGCAAATCTATGGACAATGGAGGACAGTGCTACAGTGCTATATCCATTGTAATTCATGAGTGGTACTCCTCCCACCCCTTTCTCTCATTGGCTATTAAGACCATTTCGTAGGAACAGGGATGTGACTCAGTGGCAGAGCATAGACCTTGCATGAGTGAGGGCACCCCAGGAGGAAGGCGAGTTTCATAAATATGGTGTTGAGATTTTTATGGCATAAGATTCATTACCAGTATAGTGATAATGGCAACATTCTGTAAATCAGTATGTAGTTGTGAAGGTGGTACTCTAGTTTGATCTTCTCATGCACAGGCTGGGATTACTACCTTATCTCTGAAAATTATCCATTTCCATGAGAGGTTCTTTTATAACTTGGAGAGCACCCATTGTTCTTGTCTATCTTTGGCCTCCTATAAGTACAGAAAAGTAAAGGGGATCTTAATGTAAAATGAAGGAAAGACTCAAGTCATCAGAGAATTTCTTCATAGTTACCAGCAAAAAAATGAATAAAAAAAAACTGTTACAAAATTAAGGTAACTCCTCTCCAGGGTCTCAGAACCCTTCTGAAGCTTCCTAAGTTGACAAAACTGCAGTCACTACAGGTCCAGGCCAGTCTGTGGTGTAAACATTCAAAGATCAGTCTTCATTGCTCCCTCTCCTCAGGCAGCTTTAGGTTGGGGAAACTAATTTTGTTTTCTTTTCTCATTCCTTGATTTATTCTCTCAACCAACAAACTATCAAGCCTTTGTGAGTAACAAACTTTTCTTGCATCAGAGAATGAGGAAAGGATACAATATGGATCCTTTGAGCACTGAAGGTGTTTATAAATTGGTAATAGTGATAGGCACAGGAGACAAATCAATAATTAGTATTGCTCTGCTTTTATTTGTG